ATCAAGTGCAATTATTAATGTTCCTAATAATACCAAGAGTAATAAAAAATTTTTGCAATCAGTGATCATCAGTACGCAATTGCATTATATGCATATTTTAAGTGAAATTATATTTTGCAATTTTCGTAATTAAATATGCAATTTTCTGAATATGCAATTTCTTAAGCAATCGGACATCAGACAATTAAGCTTCAAGAGTCCAAATAGATTAGAATTTTATTCTTCAGTTGATTTAAATGAATTTTTTTTATACAAACAATGATAACTTTCATATTTAATTAAAACATTTAACATCAAATGCAGTAAGAAATTAAAAAGACGGCATCTAACATAATTTATGGAAATGACTTAAGTTTAAAAAGATGTGACTATGTGGAATTCCTATCATGGAATTCCCACATCGCTTTATATTCCGCGAAACATCAATTTTATTAAAATAAATACAAACAGTTAAAAGATTAAGAGCTCATATCAACAGTGTCGGCTATTAAACAGCACGGATTTGTAAATCGAGCACTGCTTTTCTTCGTTTAAATGTCTTCGCTGTGCACATATTAAAATCATAACGACAATCGCGAAACATAACGATTCCGCACAAACGCGATCAAATCAAATGTTAAATGCGCGCGTGTTGATGTGTAAGCATCAAATAACCAAGATCAGTACTTCGGATCTTTTCCCTTGAATTTTGCCATTAATGTTAAAATCCATTCGTATTTTATTCGTATTAATGTTTGCGGCGATTAAACGAGTTCGACCGGAGTTCGATGTGTTCGATTCAACGAACGCCACGACGAGGTCGTAGGGATCACCGCGTCTCGCGGATGCACTTGAACGACCTTCGAATCTATTCTCGACCTAGCGTAATATCTGCTCCACGCCCGAGGACTTCCTCCGTGTTCCGAGTGCTCCATTTGCATCTGCTGGGTAGGCTAGGTAGACCGATAATCAGACGGCCAGAGCCGGCCGGCCGGCCGGCTTTCTCGAGCTGCCGTTCGTGTTTCACGCTTCCGATTAACTGCCGAGTGTTTCGCATTCCGCGGGTAGCTTCTTCTGCCACTTCGTCCGCTAGAACGACGAGGCGGCGCGCAGCGATGGTTCTCAAACTACCTCGTTCTGCTCTGATTTTAACGCCGATGTATACACATGGCATTATTTATGAATACATGCACGGAAGATTTTGCTTTCATTCGCTTTCATTTTTCTTCGATACAAATGATTGCCTTCGTCTTTATTTCGCGATATACCGATTTCCGCGCTTTTATACCTTCGTTAGCGACCATTTACTTTTCTCATTATAGCAGAATAGTATTTTTTTATTAATAATATAAAAATATAGAAAACTAGTTAAGTTTCCTACTTTTTCTTTTTTGCGGCATATCATTTAATGATTTTATATAAAACCGTTTTTTTTTTAGTAAAATTGTTATTAAGAGTATACTTACTTGACACTAAAATTTTATAAGTTTTTTAAATTCAAATTAATTTTACAAGAAATTTAAAGCATAATTAATAAAATATTGGAAATAAAAATTATCACGAAAGATGTTTGTCGTCCAGTTTTCACTAATAAAAAACCAGTTTTGAGTTCATTGAAAATCTGACAGTTTTAATCAAACAACTCTAAGAATATACTAAATTTTAATTTTTAGTAATTTTTAATAATTTATGTCACTTTCAAAATTATTATTTGAACGATCACACAAATAATAGGGCATGGAAAACTGTCGATTGTATTTTACACTCGCGTGGTTTTAAAATGCGAGAACGACTTTTTGTCAATGTCGTCCGGTTATCGTTTGGATGATAGGACTGATAATTTCAGTGCTCCTTAATGAAAGTACCCTGCGCCAATCCTGTTTGTAAAGCAGTAGGGGGACGTGTCGCGCGACTGTAACAGTTTTAAGAGCACAGTCTCTCGAGAGCACTATCGTGAAATTACGTAAGCCCTTCACGATGTTTCACGCCGGCTGTGTGTTCCACTTGAGACGGACTCAAGTGTCGCGCACGCGAAAAACCGCACGAGCGCCGACGCTTGATAGGTGTTCACTCTTATGTCACAGCGATATCGTTTGACTGATATCTCGACGTAAAAGATATAGCTACGTTTACATTTAGATACATGCGTGAGATATAGATATTATATTTCATAAAGGCGTGCGAAAATTTAAAAACGCGCGAAATTTGAACATTAGTATCATCTTTACGATAAGGCTACTCTAAAATTGCGTGTAATTGTAAGAAATATTTACTCCTATCGAC